CCCTGCCTCCAGCAAAAGCATCTGCGGCCCATTGAGTGTGGCCCGTGGGGTGCAGCCAGTGGCCCGCTCTCCATGTCATTCCTTAAGGGGATTTTCTCTTGCTCAGGCTGCTCCTGGGCTGTGCACGTCCCTTCCCAGACTGTGTTTCCTCAGCTAAGACATCGTCCTTCACTTCCTTCAGGCTCCTTGGAGCTGCCAAGCTGCTCCAAGGGCAGAGAAGAGCAGCAACAGGATCAGATAACCGCCCCTGCCTGCCCCAAGGACAGCTATTTTGGGAAAGCTGATGTGCCAGTGAGCTGGGCTACACAGGGAGAAGGGGGACACTGGCTCTCCCAGCCCGCACACTCTCCTCACCCCGCCGGGTCCACAGGCAGCCACATGGGCAAGAGGGAGGAACACAGATGCTGCTGCTGCTGTTTGCACTTCGCTTGTGCTGGACATGGGGCTTCACAAAGTGTCGTCTTCTATCTCGGCCCAAGTTACCCACATTTAGGCAGGGACTCGGCCTCAGGACCCCCAGGCCTTGGGCGATCCTGCCTGTGTGCCCATGCAGCCTGCGCTGCAGTCCTGTGTTCACGGGCTTGTTTTCCTGTGTGAGATTCACTGCCTGGGAGAAGCTCCAGTTATCGGAAGGAAAGGGGTGGAAGCAGCTTCAGCTGAATTTCCCATTTTCCACTCCAAACGGTGAAGGGAAGTATTTTCTTTTGCTCACATTGCAAATTCCCCAAAGCTATGGCAGGGAGCAGGAAGGAGTGAAGAGGTTTTGGAGGAGGACAGGAGGACGAGGCTGCTGGGCTTCCCAGGGACCGCTTGGCTCGCGTTAAACTCCAGGAAAGCCCGGGCTGGAAAGTGCGTGAATCCCTCCCTGCCCACTCCCAGCAGCCATGATTACCAAAGATGCATCAAATTTGGATTAAAAATATCCCCAGGGTAAAGACTCTCTCTCCAGCCCCAGGAAACTCCCCGTCACTAATGCTAATGTTTCAAGCTTGCTATTGAAGTTTTGCTCTCCTCCACCTGCCTGGGTTTGATGGCCAGCCTCACGGTTGGCTGAAGAGCCTCTGGTTCACATCTTCCCTGCAGACAGTGGCAGGGGGTG